TATATATATTGTATAAATAGTTTTTAGAGAATAGATAAACAAAAAAATGACTATCATAAGAACTAATATATTAATATTTTATATCAATAATGACATTTAAATTAAAAACTCAAAATATTAATGATATTAAAATTAAAAACTCATAAACAATTTTGATATTAAAATTATTTTAAATGTAGGAGGATTAATATTGCCTTCGGATGCCAATCATATGAGCAATTGATCAATCATAAGAGACTAATCCAAGAAGAATGTAACTAATCATGAAAATCCAAAATAAAGAGCACGATAAAGATCGATTTTATTATTTTATGAAAGTCATGTGAAAATCTATGTATTTGTAATATGTGTTTGTGGACAACTACAATAGCTTAAAATTTAAAATTTAAAATTTAAAGCCTTTCAATATTGACATTTGGTTTTTTAAATTATAATAGGGAAATTTTTAAAACCAAAAAAATAATTATTTTTTGTAAAATTTATTCAAAGAATCAACTTTAACATAGAGCGGCGAGTCATAACCTCTTTGGACGGTGGTTATGGGTGGCTAAACATGTGTAATCACCTTCTCCATTTATCCCCACACTTGGTCAGCCCTCTCCTCTTCCCTCTATTTTATAATCTTTGAATTATCTTATTGTAAAATCATTATATTTATTGGTAGAATTAAAAAAGTTTGATTTTATTGTGAAAATATATTCATTGAGAAAAACTAGAGGGGATTGACTTAGTGACCGGTCTCTCCATGAAACAAGGTTTAGTGATCTCCTTCAGATAGTCATTTTGTTGAGTGATTAGATTATCTTTTTATTCTAAATATTACTTATTTTATGTTATACTATTATTATACTATTTTGTTCTCTAAATTTTTGTAAATTTTGTATTTTTAGCTCACTAAATACTAGCCCTCACCCATTTAATGTTTCTAGTCAGAAACTTCATGTAGCAAGACCAAGCCTTGTATTAAAGATCAATTGGTAGCCTTAAGCCATTTGAAATTACTTGCAAAAACTCAAAACATAGTCTTAGTACTTTCTTGTACCATATATAAGTATTTTCCTTGTGTTTCTGGAATATCGGATCAGTCCACAAAAGTCTTAAACTCAAACTAAACAATTGACCTAATTAGGTTTTGGATACATAGCCTCATTATAAATACTAATCATATGAGCAAAGAATTAATTACAAGGGCCCAATCTAAGGAGAACGTAGACGATCAAAGAGTTCAACAATTAAAAGTATGATGAAACACCTTATTAAAATATTTTTTATTTGTAATGTATTTGTGAACATTTGCAGTAGCTTAAATTACTTCACGTAGCAAGACCAAGCCTTGTATTAAAGATCAATTGGTAGCCTTAAGTCATTTGAAATTACTTGCAAAAACTCAAAACATATTCTTCGTACTTTCTCGTACCATATATAAGTATTTTCCTTGTGTTTATGGAATATTGGATCAGTCCACAAAAGTCTTAAACTCTAACTAAACAATTGACCTGGTTAGGTTTTGGATACATAGCCTCATTATAAATACTAATCATACGAGCAAAGAATTAATTACAAGGGCCCAATCTAAGGAGGACGTAGATGATCAAAGAGTTCAATAATTAAAAGTATGATGAAGAACCTTATTAAAATATTTTTTATTTGTAATGTGTTTGTGAACATTTGCAGTAGTTTAATTATTTAAATTTTAATTTCAAACCCTTAAAAATTACAAATTTTACATTTTAAATTATCATGGGAGACTAATTTAAAGTTAATAAAAAATAAAAATTCAATATAAAATTTGTTCAAATAGTAAATTTCAACATAGAGTGATCGTCCATAACTCTTTTGATGGGTGGTTATACATGTGTAACTACACTTTCCATCTTATTTGCACGCTTGACTAGCCCTCCCATCTTCACATGCTTTTGTAATATTTGAATTATCTTATTGCAAAACTTTTATATGATTGATGGAATGAAATTTTAGGGTTTGGTGTTATTATAAAAATATTTTGAGTGAGAAAAGGGAATTGGCCTTGTGGTTGGCCTTGCCATGCAAAGAGATTTAGTGGTATCTTTGAACTAGTGACTTTGGTGAGTGATCGTGTTATATTTTTGTTCTGATCCCTCTTTTTTTCTTCTTGTAGTTTTTCTATAATATTATTTTCCCTATCATTTTGTGATTTTTTTCGATATTTCAGTTCATTAAATTCTAACCCAACCCAACTTAAAGATTTTTGCAACAAGAACTGGTCTTCTTTTAAAAGGTTGATTTTTGGCCTCAATCCCCCTTAAAGTATTGTTAAATTCTCCATAATTTCTTTGAAGAAGTTTTGCTACAATATACAAGTGTTTTCCTAGATTTTCTTGAGCATTAAGTTAGTCCATAAAATCCTAAACTCTAACTAGTCAATTTGGCACGGTTAGCCTTTTTTGATACATAATCTCATTATATATTTACCAAAATAATATGCAAAAAATTCATAAATTTTTGAAATCTTCCATATTAACATTTGACTAATAATCTTAACATTTCACTTTATTTCAAGTCTTGGAGTTATCTTCATTTTCATTATCATAGTTTTGATTTTCATTTTGTTTACTTGAGTTGGACTATTTAAGTGCTTATATTATTCACTATGACACTTTAGACATTACTTCCACATAAAATCAAGCCACTCTATACTCTACACCATCATCCTAGGTTACATGGGTAATGTTTTATCTCATATTTGATCACTTCAGTTGTTCTACTTTCAAGCTACACATCAATAATCTTCTCAAGATTCTAAGTACACCACTTGCAAAAGTTATCCCCAAACTTCAAACCATATAAAAATGAAGAATATGTCTACTTTAGTTCAGCCTAGGATTTGATGTAAGAATCGACATGTCCTAAGTTTAACATGCTTAATGAAGGCTTAAACGCAATAGCCTTAGTTGACTTTATGGCTTGAGTAGAAAATTAGTGTTGGGATCGCTGGTTAAAAACTTTTGTGGATTATAAATAATATATGACTTGGCTTGAAGCTTGGAAATAACTAGGTAGGATCGCTGGTTAAAAACTTTTGTGGATTATAAATAATTATCGTGACGTAGCCCGAAGCTTGGAAATAACTAGGTAGAGGAAATAACTAGGTAGGAACATACGGATGGGCAGTGATAATCATGCTTCTTTATTTTCCTTTTAATAACTAACATTTAATCAACCAAAAATGAATGAGTGAGTCGCTAAAGAAACGAATATAAATTTAAAAAGTTGATATTTACCTTATTTCGGGTCGTCTGCATATGTTATAAACATCTATTTCTCTATTACTCATCTTTAATTCTATTCATCTACTTATGAATAAATGTATGTTTGCTAGATTTAAAATAGTACGCAGCAGTCCGTGAGTCGCTAAAGAAACGAATATAAATTTAAAAAGCTGATATTTACCTTATTTCTGGTCGTCTCATATGCTATAAACATCTATTTCTCTATAACTCATCTTTAATTCTATACATCTACTTATGAATAAATGTATGTTTAATAGATTTAAAATAGTACGCAACAGCCTAATAACTTCATAAGTAAATAATTATGCAACTGTTTATACAAAATTATTAACATGCACTATGAATAATGAAAATAGCATATACATGAATGCTTGTATGTGCATATTAAGAGGGGGATTTCATAGCCTTATGGTACTAGCAGAAGACGACAATGTGTCTGTGCGCGTAGATGTTTTTCCACTACTGCTAATAATTTTGATATTTAAATCGCTAACTGCTATTGTTAATTAGAAAATATTGTTCATAAGCAAGTAGGCACATTTCTACCTAAAACAATCATATAATTTAGATCTCATAATGCTGTGTTGATAGAAAAAATATCTGTCATGAGTGTTTTAGGTTATATTTTGACGGTACTCCTAAGACTTATTTTGAAGTTAAGATTATATAGAAAAAGTGAAGTTAAAGATTAAACTTTAAAGAGTAAAACTAAATTTAATGCATATAAAAGTATAAGTTATTTTCATTAAGGAAATACCATGAAGTCATAATTAGATTATTATATGACTTTGAATAGTGAAATATGAAAGACCAACAAGCATTTTTTTTTTCTTTGGTTTACTATAATTAGAAGTGTGGTTGCTTCACCAGGTTATGTTAGACAACTCGTTATATTATTTTAATATTTCATTCAAGTCTTAAACTTTTAAATGAGATAAATACTAGAATAGTATAATTAGAAGTGTGGTTGCTTCACCAGGTTATGTAGACGACTCGTTATATTATTTTAATATGTCATTCAAGTCTTAAACTTTTAAATGAGATAAATCCTAGAATAATTAATGTGTTCAAAAGGCAATATCAGTAATTGAAGAAGTGAATTTTTTATTGTTATGTAAAATGCTTTCCTTAGTAGCTCTTTTAATAATTTTTTAGATATTAAGCTATCAGTGATATACATAAAATACTTAAAACTTAATTTCACTGTTTGACCGTTTGTTATCGCATTGGTTAATTCTAAGTCTTAGACTGAGTCGAGATAATAATTATGTCTAAATTAAACTTATAGTGTTCATAAATTTTCAACGGAGTTAAGATGATCAATTGGCTCATAAAATAAAGCTTCATTTTGTTGGTTTAAACAATCGATGATGACAACAACAACAACAACAACAACAACAACAACAAAACCATCGATGACAACCTTCAACAAAATTTTTCTTGGATTTTTCATTGAATGTACAATAGAAGAATGGTAAAATTGTGTGCAAGCGAGTTTTTAAAAGAGTCCACATTAAGAGAAACTAAGATTTTGTAATACATAAGCCTATAATTCACTAAATTGAATTGGTTTGCATAGATCACTAGACCTCTTCAACTAGTGGACAACAACCCATCTCTTTCTCACTTGGAACCAACTTCAACATTTCAGCAAAAATAACATCAAGTTCTTTTACAACAGTCCATTTCAAGTTACGCAGAGAGGGAAGAGGTAGAAGGAAGGGGCAGGCCAAATTTTTGAAAATAAGAAGGGAGATTGTTAACCACCATATAAACTCCAAATTTATTGACAAGCCACACAAGAACAAAAATGGGTTATTTTCTCTACTCTATCCAAATAAATATTTTTAATAAAATTTAAATAATATTTCAAAAATCTTTTAAAATAAAAATATCAGAATATAAAATTTTAAAGCTTTCAAATTTCAAATTTTATAATATATAATTAAAAGTTTAGAGTTCTGCACATGAGCACAAATTCCAGTTTGCCTTGCTCTTTTGCTATGAGCCTTTGGTCAGTTGTCACTCCTTGTTTTGAGTTTGAGTTAAAAGATTTTCTCTATTTCTCCATTGGCAACTTGTGGCATATTTCTCAAGAAACTTCCTAGTTCAATAAGAATACATTTGAAATGATTGTTATTCATACTATATCCCCTTAAAACTAAAGCATTCTGAAGTGAATAGCCAAATGACCTCATAACTCTTTTCTTTTAATCAAAATATCATTTACTTCTATCTTCTAAACACATTGTCCACCACTCTCTGATGTATTACCCAAATTAACTAGGATAAAATGACATGAAACTCCTTCAAAACATTACTTCAACTTATTCTACATCAATCTAATTTCAAACTAAACAAATTTATATAACAGCCAAACCTTTCCATGGAATGGGCTGCTTGGACCAAGATTGACAATAAATGAACTAATACTTTGAAGTAAATCTTTTTGCTAAAGCTTAATCAGACAATGGTTAAACTGGAGCAAAATTTTTAGAACTAGATATTAATGGAGGTTGAACATGGACGCAGTCATTCAAGTATGCTATCAAGAAATGAATTTGCTGTTTGCAGGTAGCTAGACTATAATTTCATAAACGTTTTTAATGAAACTTAGTTGCTTATTGATTTAGTTAAATATATTCTTCCATTTTTCAAGCATTCCATGGATTTGAAGGATTGTGTATTTTACAAATGTAACGAGAATGAACATATGAATAAACTTATTAAATGGATACGTTAAAAACATAATATTATTTGATGTTAAGGCTCAAGCATCATAAAATATTAGAAATAAAATGGAGAAAATGATATTAGTTTTAAAATACATTAACATATAACTACAACAACAACAACAACAAAACATCCCAACTAAGTGGGGTCGGCTACATGAATCTTTTTCTCCGTTGAGTCCTATTTAGTGTCATATCTTCATTTAATTCTAATAAATTAAGATCATTTTTTTTTTTAATACAATAAGCCCAAATCATCCTAGGTCTACCTCTGCCTATCTTAAATAAGTCGAATCTAAGACATCCAATCTTCTAATTGGTTAATCAAATGGTCAACGTTCAATGTGACCAAACCATCTACGACGACTCACTCTGATTAATATATAACTATTTAAACTAAATTAATGCTCAATTTTAAATTTAAACAAAAGAATATAGATATTAATAACAATACCAAATCAATTTTTAAAATTCCCAAGACATGGTCCAAGGACCGGAGTCGATGTTGGGAATCAAACAGGGTGGTCGACATAATATAATTTTATAATCACAACAGGAATCAGATCTAAATTTATATGCATGATGTTGGAATGACAAACCAATTTACTCGACCACCAGCACCATTTTTTTTTTTCTAGGTGAATATCAGAAGAAGATTAAATGGCACTCAAACGACTATGGATCATACCATCTCACAACAAAATAAAATTTGCTAGAAGATAAATTACCTGACACATTCTCAATCGAAATCTCCAGAAATATAAAAACCATAATCCGGGGGTGAAAATGCAGATTAATAACAGAACTTGGAATTTCAAACACACCAGTTTTATTCTCCTAAAAGAGTTTAACTTTAAAGGGGAGCAGACAAAGTATAATGTTGCATCGCTGTAAATGAAATGGAAACTAAATAGTGAGAAATAAAATCTTCCTTGTTTCTTCAACAGGCAAACATAGCTCACAAAATGGTTGGATAACAATAAAATTCAATATTATGATCACCCTACCCTTGTGTTTCCTTGCAGTTTGCTAAAGACTCCAACTCCCTGCAGAACGAAACAGTAAAAACCAAAGTAGTCAGGCAGTAGCTTTTAAATGATGGAGCGAGATAGAGAGAGAGAGAGAGAGAGAGAGAGAGAGAGAGAGAGAGAGAGAGAGAGAGAGAGAGAGAGAGAGAGAGAGAGAGAGAGAGAGAGAGAGAGAGAGAGAGAGAGAGAGAGAGAGAGATCACAAAACATGTACTTAAGATATGAATTATCATTTAAGATGCAAATTTGCAATGAGAAACAGATGCGATCATCATTAAACGAAAATGAATTCCGTTTGAGCTATTCTGGCAATCACCAGATTCTGAAATGCAAACAGTAGTAAATTCACAAAAAAAGTTATTTGATTAGGATGGTGCAGCTGGCCTCAATTCACATAGTGGATCATTAAGGTGAGGGAATGATTTACCGCAACAAGTAATCGTGTTATCAGTGCTCTATCATTAGTGTAAGTTGCTCACACTAATGCAAAGTTTCATTGCCTCCAAATTTAGGAATAAGTTTTAAAATGCAAAAGGTTATATATCTGACAAAAAGAAAAAAAATCCATTAAAGGGCACATATTTAGATAGAGTAATGAATTTATTATTGAAAGAAAATAAGGAGACCAATTAAATACAAATGAGAAATCATGGCAAAGAAATAAGTATTGAATACTATCAAATCAATTTTTAGACAAGAATCTACTATTAGATGATCATTTATAGACCGGGGAAGCACACATACAGAACATTTGACACAATTGCCAAACGTCCACAAGCCAATATTTCCAAATTCCATCCATTTATTATCTTCAGGGTGATTAACTCTTTTCATTACCTCTTTCAACTTGTCATCAACTTCCTCCCCCTTCCACTTAAAGCTTCTAACTCCTCACTGTCTCATTCTTCGTTCAGTAATGGTTGATTTAGCTCAGTTTACTACTCAATTCAAGCTTAAACAAGAACGTAAATCATTACTGGATTTCAATGAAACTCCGCCAACAGAGAATCAAGTCTAAGCAAGCCAAATCGACAAAACAGACAAGCAAAAATAACAAAATGGCACGGAAGAGAGAAGAAAGAATTGATGGGTGAAGGAGAAGAACTCGCTATAGAAATTGAAGAATAAAATAACAGGGGTGAGGGATCTAATGATGACAGCAATGACGAAGGGTTCGCTACAACTACAACAAAAGAAGCATTCTGGCATTGCATTGCTGCAGTTGATAAAATGGAAAAAGAGAGCGAAAAGCAAAAATCACATTCCCATCCTCAACACCAAAAAAATAAAAAAATAAAAAGAACTAAGAACCTAAAAAAAGAAAATATAGCAAGTTTCAATGAAACACCTCTAATAAATGGTATTGGATTAAAAACATCTAAATGAGATCCCCTTACAAATACATTTTCAAACCAACACAAAGCTACAAAAATGCTCCATGCATTACAAAGATGCCTTGTTTAGGGTCTGATTAGGGAAGCATTTCCATCGTTTTACTTTCGAGAAAGCTGCCAAACTACAGCAAACAATTTTATTTTTATTTTATTTATTTATTTATTTTATAAGCGAATTTTTACAACCAGATGTACTAAAGTTTATTATAAGAAAGATGTCTTACTTTTTCAAATGAAGAAAACATTATAACATCCTCAACAGCTTTCAAAACAATCTATTTTTGCCTACTACAGTTCTGCATCTAATTTTACAAACAATAGTAACTCTCAAAAACCGTTGTGAACGTTATAAATATTTTTTTTAAGAAAGTCAAACTTTTTATGGCTAAAATACTTTAGCATATTCGGTTTTAAAAGCAGAAAATTAGGTGACCCAATAATGGTATAAATATACTGAATTTAAAAATGAAAAGCATTATATGCGTGTATTAAAAATGACGAGATTGTAAGGCTGCTAACATTAATATTATTTATTGAAAAAACAAACAAGATGGACAAAATTGGAGGATTATTGAAGAAAGTGACGTACAGGAACAAAAATTTAAAATAATCAAACACTTTATAAGTTATTTCAATTTTAGTTTATTTAATTTCTATGATTATTTTTATTTTAAATTAGATGACATGATTATTAAGGGTCACCTAAATTCAAATTGAAATTAGTTTGGTTTTTCTTGTGTTTCTATTTCAATATATAGGAATATATGACTTGTAATCAAATTATTGAATGATAAATAAGAAACCTAGACATCCATTAAATTTATACAGCAAAATATATCGTATCAGAATTTCTTGATGGTAATTATATCAAAAGTCTAGTAAAAGTTATATGAATTTCTTGCACCTCTTACATAACATCAATAAAGCTAAAACAATTGACCTATATGAGACGCATAGACTATGCCTGAAAGATACATCATAATTGTAATAAATTAATTATTAGTTGAATTTACTCAATTTACTCGGGAATCAACATCATTAATTTATTGATTTGTTTCATAAAGCTTATAAGCATCTAAGCATGCAACATTATCATGGACATATTTTACAGATGGGTGGATAAACCATAAGATTCATATGATCATAACGTTAGATCATTTATCATCTTAAGTGGTATCAATTTACGCATTTCCTAGTACAAATATCATTTAATTGTGCTAGATAAAGCTATTGAAGAATCATATAACTATCATGTATGTGACCCGTGGTTACAATTAGCCAGATAATAACTTTATTTATCATCCTAATCATCAGTAATCTCATTGATATTACAAATCATCTTTATAAGATACTAATTATGATGGACAAAACTCTTATGAAGAATATGAGCGCCCTTAGGCATATAATCATAACATCCATTCCAATCCAATACCATTTATCATAGTCATAAATCATATTATAAATATAATTTTTGAACTCAAAAGTTCAGAATGTGTGAATTTCAGACGCGCAGGCAATGTTGTTACCTCCACCATTTCCAAACATAATACTTTTTGATGAGCTAATTTATAAAAATTGTTACTGTGATGATTCAAGTTTTAAATATAAGCTTAACCATGAAGATCAATCATCAACAATTGAGCTGCTTGTTCAGCACTCAGAATGCGCCTAAGAACTATTCCTGAACAAAAGTCGAAGACAGTGTCTGAGCCTGAATTGAGAGATTTTATGTTATTGCTTTTACTGAGATGAATTAATCAGCTGATTTACAGGTTATGGCATCCTCATAAAATCCTTCTCCAACTATACTGTTAGAAGTTATATTAGAAAATAATTTATTCTTGTGAGAAGTATGAGGAGTTATGTCATTTCCTATTTTATATTTATTTCCTTGGATTAGGAGTTATTTTCGTTCCTATTTTATGTTATTTCATTTATCTCCAAATAATTAATATGAAAGTATTGGAGATATATTTCCTTTCATATGAATTATTATTATCTTTCTCATTTTAGGAATCATGCCAAAGGTTATTTATACCCTCCTCCAAATCAATGAAAAAACCCTCATTTAATTCCACTTAGTTCCGCATTATTATGAATTTCAACATGATATCAGAGCCTAATTTCGTACCCTAGCCACCAGTCCTCCTTCCACAGCCACCAGATTCCTTCCTGCCATCCTCAGTGCGGAAAGGGAGGGGCACTCGTCTTGGTATTGGAAACAACAATTTTTTCTTCTTCTCTCCCCGCAGGCATAGGTTGTTAGCTTGCCCTTCCCAAGTCAAGAGCTTCGACTCTGCCGCCCTCACACGGGCAGCTTCTCCCAGCAAGATTTCTGCTAGACCTTTGTTGGTTGGCTCTCCCTCTCACTGGTGACCCTTCTCTGATGAGTTATGCGTCGATAACTTCTCTGATTTCCCTCCTAGCCCCAGGACTTTCCCGTTGTTCTTTTCCTGCAGTAGACCCTCATCCTGAGCTTTTTCCTATAGTAGGTCATTCTTCGGAGCTTCCCCCTACAGCATTCCAGCCTCCTGGTTTCCAACTGTTGGCTTCCCTTACTTTCTGCAGGTCCTTATTACTGGAGGTGCAGTATTTTCTCTTGGAGGTTCTTCCCGCTTTTTTTGGCGCATATTCCCTCCAGCAATCTGGCTTCCCTGATTTCATCCAGATGTCAAAATTTCCAGCAGTCCGGCTTCCTGATTTCCAATTGTTCCACTTTTGCGATTTCCTATAGCCGTTCAGTGCTAGTCCTTTCTTACCAATGCTCTGCATCCCTGCTGATGCCAAGCTTCTCAAGGAAGATCCACAGGCCCTCCTTCGAATACCTACTTCCCTGCAAACTCGCGCAGTCAAAGGCAATCACACTTTACTAGAAGTTAATATTTTCCTTCAGGTTGTCTACTTTCCTACAAACTCCCCTACAACATCACCTGTAGGAGACTTCTATCTAAATGCAGACACTACAGGAACTACAGTCAAAGACAACCGCAGTTGTCTACTTCAACATTATTTGCAGGAGCCTTCTGCCTCCCTACAGACACTGCAAGAATTGCAGTCAAAGACAACAACAGTACCAGATCTCTCTCGCCCATTGTTTGATGCTTTAAAAAATCCAAGTTGAAAATGGTTTTCAACCATGTTTCAACTTGAGTGGGAATGTTAGAAGTTATATTAAGAAATAATTTATTCATGTGGGAAGTAATAAGGAATAAATTATCTCGTGAGAATAAAAGTTATTTCATTTCTTATTTTATATTTATTTTCTTACATTAGGAGTTATTTTCTTCATTTCTTATTTTATATTTATTTCCTTAGATTAGGAGTTATTTTACTTTCTATTTTAGACTTTCCTATTTTATGTTATTTCATTTATCTCAAAATAATTAATATGAATTGATTAGTGAAGATATTAGGAGATATATCTTTCGTTTCATATTATTTAGGTTTTATAATCTTTCCTATTTTAGCATTCATGCAAAGGGTTATTTATATGCTCTTTCATATCAATGAAAAAAGTCATCGTTTAATTCCGCATTGTTCTGAAATTCAACATATACAGATAGATCTACATGTTCCAAAATAATTGTATACTTCCTCTCTAAAATTAGAAGCATTGGTTGAGTT